AAAAAAAAAAAACGAACAGGATTTTGGGACTTGCCATCTATTTAAAATCAGGCTAATGATTAAATGATTGAACCCGGAGACCATGTTTAATGAAGTAGGCTGACGCCACGGCACTCACTCTAGCCAGGGCAACAGTGAGAGATTCGGTCTCATAAAAAAAAAAAAAAAAAAAAAAAAAATGCTAACAAGGAAAGGGTAACACCACGCTGTTGGTGTGGTAGCAATGCAAATTAGTACAGCCATTACGGAAAATAGTATGGCTGTTTCTCAAACTAAAAACAACTACCTTATGATCCAGCAATCCCGTTACTGGCTATTTATCCAAAGGAAAGGAAATCAATATTATCAAAGGGATACCTGCACCCCCATGTCTACTCAGCACTATTAACAATAGCCAAGATATAGGAGCAACCTAAGTTTCCATCAGTGGATAAAAAGAATATGGTATATATACACAATGGAATACTATTTGGCGATAAAAAATAACATAAAATCCTGTTGTTTTCAGCAATATGGTTTGAACTAGAGGTCATATGTTAAGTGAAATAAGCCAAGCACAGAAAGACAAATATTGCATGTTCTCACACACATGTGGGAGCTTTAAAAAAAAAAAAAGTTGATCTCATGGAGGTAAAGAACAGAATGAGGATTGTCAGAGGCTGGAAAGGGTGTGCGTAGGGGAGGTGGTGGGGGGCGTGAACAGAGGTTGGTTAATGGGCACCAAAATGGATAGAAGGAATAAGTTCTAGTGTTCAACAGCACAATAGAGTGACTATAGTTAACAACATATATTTCAAAATAGCTAGAAGATGTAAGCTGTTCCTAGAATAAAGAAATGATGTTTGAGGTGACAGATATCCTACATACCGATTTGATCATTACACATTGAATTCACATAACAAAATATCACATGCACTCCATAAATATATACAAATATTATGTATCAATTAAAAATGTAAAGTTTTAATCTTTATCAGAAATGCTTTTTGATTATTACTGAAATTATGTTTCTATGCATAGCAAAATGAGTACTTTGTGCTTTCTGTGGGAATGATTTTCATTAGACTTTGAAGTATGGCCTTTTTTGATAATTATGCTGCTACCCAGAGCCTAGGACTTTCTAACATATTCCACCTTGTTACAGAAGAACTGAGGACCACAACTCTGAAATGCTGTTTTCCCCCAAATTTCAGCAACAACGTGACTACAATTTTTAGTGCTTTTTTAGCTTTTTCTCAATTCTTCAACTGTAAGGAAAATTTCCAAAAGTTGACTTTTTTTTTTTTTTTAAAGTTTATACAACTGATTGTTCTTTACGTAAAGTGGCATGTTTTAATCTGGGGTTGAATAACAGTATTTTTCTTTAAGGAAAAAATAATTCATTCCAATATTGAAAAAACTTAATGTGTGTAAAAATTATGAACAGAGACTTATAGAAATGACAGAACGGGAGTTAAGATTTTAACTAGCGATGGGTACAAAGAAAATGTTAACAAAGAGAGGGAATCATTGATGTCAGAGAAACAAATTCTGTATAGGAAAGAAAGTCATAGTATGAGAATGAGAATGAGTGAATGAATGAAATGAGAATGAGTGAATCCTGCACCTAAGTCAAAGTGTGAGAAACACTTTAAAATATACTTTAATATCTTTTTTTTTTTTTTAAAGATTTCTAAATGGATTTAGGCAACTTTGAATAATGGGATTTACATAATAAAATCTGAGACAAGACTAAACAACAAAAAAATTTCTAACATAAAATTCAAATTTCAAGTTCACAGATTTATGTTATGCCAAAAAAGTACAGAAACAAAATTGTATTTACACAAGTTTCATAATAAAATAATGAAAAAGGCAAGACAGGTGATAGAAGAATGAAAATATAGAAATAGCATATAATTATTAAATGGAAACCGAACTAGATCTAACAAGTCCTTAGCAGGGACCATTCTTTAATCAGGCTTCCTCTATCAGAAAATTTTAGTGCACAATACACCCAACTCACTCATTTCACACATACACCAGCACAAACTCGGCATAGAAATCAGTCAACATCCTCTAATCTATACAGAATTCTAATCTATACAGAATTCCTCAGATATAATTACAATTTCAATGCATTCCACAAATGCTTATCAACGCATATAGTGGTGCAGACAAAGAAGTTCTATACAAAGCCATTTGCCGTGCAGGCTCCATTCCTGGGTACAGCCAGACTATGTCAAATCAGTGAATAATCTGCTGGATGATAAAATATTTTTGCTGAACAATCAGTCACCAGTCTAGCTATTATTTTTTAAAAAGAGGGTGGGTGAGGTGGGGACGGGGCTTCCATAAAGAAAGAGAAAGGAGGAAAATTCCAAAAACTAAAGAAGTCCTTAGGCAGATCTGACTTCAGAAAACCCCATCACAAAGCACAATCCAGTATCTGAAAGCAGGGCACCAGCTGTTGTTAAAATTCTTGTGTATAACACACCAATGTGACCTTTATTTCCTGCGTCTAACAGCAGTCTTAATCTTGCGACCAGAAACTGAAGTTCCAGAAGAAGAGAACATATTTTTCCCATTTGACCTGTGAAAATAAAGACTTTATAATCTAACACAATGCCCAGAGCAAAATTTCAGAATCAAAACGTTTAATGTGACCAGTAACAAGGCAAGGAAAAAAAAGACACTGTTAAACACATTTGATGCTACACCTAGCACACATACCATACTGCTATTTTTCTCAGGCTATAATATCATCCACCAAATTGTAATGTGGTAAATTGATGTTGGAAAACGTATTTAATTTTATCAAAACTATATTGCATCTTGGTGACTTTTAAAAACAAAACACACACATGCACGCACTCTTACCAATGTAAATTCTGCATTGCAACAAAAAGTTCTCTTACCCCAATGTAAATGCTGCTGGAGACTGGTTAAAAGGAAAGCCCCCTGAGCCTGAAGGCTGGGCTGAGGCTGCAGATGTGCTAGGATTTGCACCAAATGTGAACACTCCTGATGGATTATTGTTTGTGAAGTTGAAATTTGTAGTGCTGCTGCCAAATTGGAAAACCGAACCTACAATAGTTAAAGCAAAAGTACTTCGTTAGGGCAAAATGATAGTTTTTTAGTAATGACGCTGACCTCTACATATAAAAACATGTAAATGGTTAAGATCCCTTATGGTCTCTTAATCTAAAGAAAAACAAAAATATTTTCTCCACTGACACACAGTAGTACATACTTGGCACCTCCAACAAATCACACAACTCACTCAGGACCAAGGAAAAAAGGGTAGAGTAGATTTTTTGTTAAAGATAGTAGAATCAACATATTAAGCTCTATCGTCTTTGAAAAGCGCATTAAAACAACAGTAAGGGGATTTTCACAAAGATGGGGAGAGAGGAGACAACAACAAAGTTTAGAAGCCGGAAGGCTGACTGGAGCTGATACTACACTAGCAGCAGGGAAAGTACAGAAGCAATTCCGTTTACACTAAACATACCCAAAAGATTTAGGTTCCAGGTACCTCTGGAAGTGAAAATGAAGGTGGGACTAAAAAAAAAAAAAAAGAAAAAAGAAAAAGAAAAAGAAAAAAAAGGGAAAGATGGTAGAATATCTGTATAAGAAGTAGATACCAAGACCTATCCCTCCCCAACACCAAACAAGATGGTAATTCTCTTTCATCCCAGCAGAACAATAATTTATTCTTTGGAGAAGTCTCTGGACTGGGGCACAAAATGCATAGTGTTCTTGCCCCTTAGGGCAAGAACATCATATTGAAAATAGGAATTAAGAGTAGGTTGATATCATCAATACAGAGAACTCTAGCCATCCTCCCTAACTTGGCTCACAGAACACTGGTAAGCAGAAGTTCTCTGATATACCAAGCAGGAGATTGGAAGCATCTTCTCTGGGGAATCTGACAGACTAAGAAGGAAGACCTAATGATACTAACCATCCTAATTTTCCCAAGTAAAATAAAGCTAGATAAACCTGTAATGAAATTCGACATCTGTAAGCCTATCAAGGTACAAAGGATTCAAGTGGTATTTAGGTATCCTACACTCATAAAACTATGACTAGATACCAAGGAGTACCAGACATTTGAAGATAGTATTTAGTAAGAAACACCATCTTGTCTGGCAGCTACCTGTGACATAGCTTCTGTTCCTAAGTTCCTATTAAATATTTCCTTCTAAGAGACAAATGAAGAAACACCGAGACCAAAATAACAATAGAGAAAAACAACTTGGAGAACACCGACTAAGAAGGAAACAAAACTTAAAAAAAAAAAAAGAAACAAAAACCTCACCATTAACGTCCTTAAGAGACCAATAAACACTACATTCATGAAAACAAAACCAGAGGAATATAAAAATGAAACATCCAGAAAACAAAAAGGAACACCTGGAAATTAAAGTCATATGGAAGTAAAATTTCAATAGAAGCAGTAGTATTAATAAAAAGACAGAGAAATCTATTCAGAAAGTACAAAAGGTAGAAAAAATGAGAGAATAGAAGCTAAAAAAAAAAAAACAAAAAAAAACTCAAAAAGAATGAATGAATGAATGATTGAGGGGCGAAATCTTCAAAGAAATAATTAAAGAAAATTCCCAAGAATTGAAGTTCACAAAAGAGCATGCTGCATTCTCTACACAATCAATGGATAAAAATGGACCCACAGGGGCTGGGCGCCTATAATCCTAGCACTCTGGGAGCCCACGGTGGGATGATTGCTTGAGCTCAGGAGTTCAAGATCAGCCTGAGCAAGAGTGAGACGCCCTTCTCTACTAAAAATAGAAAAAATTAGCCAGGTGTGGTGGTACATGCCTTTAGTCACAGCTATTTGGGGAGGCTGAGGCAAGAGGATTGCTTGAGCCCAGGAGTCTTGAGGTTGCTATGAGCTAGGCTGATGCCACGGCAGCAGTCTAGCCTGGGCAACAGAGAAAGACTCTGTATCAAAAAAAGAAAAAAGGACCCACACTAAGGCATGTCCTGGATGTGTCAGAGCAATGGAGTTAAAAAAAAGATTCTAACTAGATTTTAGAAAGGAGAAATAGGTCAAAAAGCAAAGATCAAGACAGACTTCACAAGCAATCCTAGAAACCAGAAAGTCTACAATGGAGAATTGTCTTCAAAATTATGAAAATTATTTCTAATCTCAATCTATATTCAACCAAAATCTTACCAAACATAAGGACAGAATAAAGATCCCTCCAGAAATGCATGGCCTCAAATTTTTCTTCCCCAAACCCTCAGGAAATCACTGAAGATGTGCTCTATCAAAAACAAGGGCGTGACAAAGACATGACACCCAGGAAACAGAAGTTCCTATAAGAAGCTAAAAGGAGTCTCCAAGATAATGGTAAAAAGAGAGCCCCCAAGAGCACAGTTAGTTAAACAGTAGGCCTAGAAAGCCTGGTGGGAGGAACAGCTGAAAAGATCCCATGAGAAAAGTTCTTCAAATGCTCATTTCAGTAGCACATATACCAAAATCCAAATGATATGGAGAAGATTAGCATGCCCCTGCATGAGGATGACATGCAAATTTGTGAAGCATTCTAAACTATAAAATACTGATGAAAGAAACCGAGGAGGACACAAACAAATGGAAAGAAATCCCACGCTCATGGATCAGAAGAGTCAATATTATAAAAATGCCCATACTACCCAAAGGCAACTGTAGGGGCCAGGGAGGAAACTAACCCTTTGCCCTGTGAAGGTTCACTGAAAAATCAACTCACAAAAGGCAGATTAATTGAAGAAAAGGCATACAAATTTATGAAATGTATATACACAGGAGCCTTTGGAATGAAGACCCAGTCTCCCAATGGAGTGCAAAAGCTTATATATCATTTTGAGGTTACAGAGAGAATGCTGGCTCAGAGAGCATGGCCAAAAACAGGTTATGGTAGTAAATCAGGTTTTAGTGGTAAGACAGGTTATGGGTGGGAGAGAAAACTTGGCTAGCAAAAGTCACCTTGTTATACATGTGAAACCTCAGGGCTTCAACTGGGAGCTGAGGCAGCCACCCTCAGAGAGAAGAGATGATACATGTTTCTTTTCAGACTTTTAAAGATGTCAGACTCTCAGTTAATCTTTCCCAGATGTGGACAAGGGAAGGCCTGGCTGCATCAGTGCAGATTCTCTACAGATGCAAATATCCCCCACAAAAGGCAGCTTTGCAGGCCCACTTCTGTTTGCTAGCCTTTTGGCAGCCATCTCAAAATATGTCAAAGAAATATATTCTGGGGTAAAAACACTTTGATTTCCTTCACAATCTACATACTCAATGCAATCCCTGTCAAAATATCAATGACGTTTGTCACAGAAACAGAAGAAACAATGCTAAAATTCATTGACGCCACAAAAGAGCCCAAACAGCCAAAGCAATCCTGAGCAAAAAGAACAAAGCTGAAGGCATCACATTATCTGACATGGAAATACACTTTGCTATAGTAACAAAATCAGCATGGCGCTGGCATAAAAACAGACACACAGACCAATAGAACAAAATAAAGAACCCAGAAATAAATCTACCTATTTACAACCAATTGATTTTCAACAAAGTGCCAAGAACATACATTGGGGAAAGGACATCTTCAATAAATGGTGCTGGGGAAACTGGATATTCACATGCAGAAGAATGAAACGACCCGTACATCTCACCATATATAAAAAGCAACTCAAAATGGATTAAAGACTTAAACATGAGACATGAGACTATGAAACTAGAAGAAAATATAGGAGAAACGCACCAGGACACTTAGACACTGGTCTAAGGGCAAAGATTTTGTGGCTAAGACCTCAAAAACACAGGTAACAAAAACAAAAATAGACAAGTGGGACTATGTTAAACTAAAAAGCTTCTGTACGGCAATGGAAACAACTGATGTACTGAAGAACCTCTGCTGAGTAAGAGAAAATATTTGCAAACTATTCATCCAACAAAGGACTAATATCCAGAATATACAAGGAACTCAAACAACTCAACAGCAAAAACAAGACCAAAAAACCATCACCCAAATAATCCCATTAAAAAGTGGGCAACGGAACTAAAAAGAC